ACTCTTTCTTGTTCTTCCTGAATCCCCCACCTCCTGGCAGCCCCCCCATCCCGCCCTAACTGGAAGCGTCAGGCTCCCCATTGTGTTGGAGGAGGGGAATGGGCACTAGGACTTGAAGCTCTACACAATCTAAAGCACAGCTGTACTATATATAGCCCAAGGGAGCTGAGTGACCAGACAGGGGAAGGGAGGGCTGTCAGCCTTGAGCTAAGGAGAGCTGTGAGTGAGGGGATGAACTTGGCAAGGAGCACAAGATGCTCGGGTTGGGATTGGAATGGGAAGGACCTGGGCTGAAGGGCTAGAGGAATCACAGGGGAGTAAACATTAGGCCACATAATAGTGTCTCAGGGACTTGAGGGGCAAAGAGTGGGGTAACAGGAACAGGCAGGAGCAGTGGAAGTTTCTAGATGATGTGGCTAGGATGAGGCAGCCTCTCTAAGGAACAGAAGATGGGAAGGGTATAACACCCCCTCCTTCTGAAAACAGGCACTGGATTCCAAGGACCTTGCAGCCTTTGTCCAAGGACAGCCCCAAGGGCCACAAGCCTGAGCTAGAAAAATGCTTTGGGTACCCACTAATCTTTCTGGGGAGACTGCTCAAGTATTTGAAAAGATTCTCAGAGGGTATGGATAATGGTAATTAGAAGGCTGAATCAAGACCGTAGTGATGCTAATGTTATATAATCATGTATTGTGAGGGAACAGTTCTGAGCCGCAAGATACCAGTAGTGATCCCTGTCTCATGACGATTGGGTAATCAGAGATTTAAAATGTTTTGTTAAGGTCCTTGTGTTGGATGCTTTTGAATACTCAAATACACAGCTTCCTCTAAAGCACACTATGGGAAGGGATTACTATCTTGGGAGCCTATAAGGTTTAGGCACTTTATATATTTTGTTTAAATCTCATGACAGTCCCAACAGGTAGATCTCATTATTTCCATTTTACAGATGAGAAAACCAAGGGTCAGAGAGGTTAAGTAACTTAGCCAGATCACACAGCAAGTAAATGGCTGAGCTATCAAACCAATAATGATAAACACTATAGACTACAATAGAAAATTAACAACAATAATGTGACTTCATGTACATTTCATCATCTCATTCTCACACCATCTTAGAAATACAAGTAAACAAGAGTGCAAACAGCTGGGCAGAGTGAACTTCTTAATCCAGGACTTCCGGTCTTTCAAGAACTGTGAACCTACTCCACTGTTTCTCGCCAAGGCAGGGTGAGTCGTGGGCCAGCACACTGCATCTGGGAGTGTCCAAAAGTCCTTACAGGTCTCCTCATCTTCCATACCCTTCTCCCCAACCCCAATTCCTGCACAAACTTTACCTCCTTTGCAAGTAAATTGACCTTAATTTAAAATCCAGCATTACTACACAAGAAACTGCTAACTGGACTCTGAGAAACACTGGTAAGCGGCTCATCTTACTATTCCTTCTATGCTACTTATATTACCTATTCAAAAAATTTTTGACCAAAAAAAAAAAAAAATCTGCTTCAGGCAACATCCCTGTGGCAGGGAAAAGCAGTATAATTTGTCCCACAGTTAACCGAAACTGCTGGGGATTATGGGGAAAGAGGTTGTGTTACATCTTTAACAATTCTTTTTATCCACAGCTTCCCGAGCTTTCTCAAATCCTACCTCTCTGGGCCTCTGCTCCCATCCCCCAGACTGAAGAATCTGCTCTGAATTTACCAGCCAAGTAGGGACCCTGGAAAATGTGTAATGGAAATAGTGACACACTGCAGTCTTCCAGTTGACCCTAGAGTTCCCAAACCACAGAGCCCCAGGGTGACTCTCAAAGTTCTCAAACTGGGTTTTGATCTTTTCCTGCCTGGGCCCCATGTGAATAAAAAGTGATATTCACACAGCATCCGGCTCTACCACTCCCTGCCAGAGGCTGGAAACCAGACTCATTTCCCTATTTGAAACTTGGGGCTTTTCTTTTTCTTCTCTCAAGCAGCCTTTTTGTGGCTAGGAACAGCAAGGCTCCATTCACTCATTCACTCTGCATATACTTGCTAAGCAACTACTACGCGCTGGGCTCTGCTCTAGGAGCTGAGTTGGATGCCGTGGCCCTGCCTTCGGGGAGCTCACATTCCAGTGGACACCCTCGTTTGCTCTGGACTCTGGTGAATGCCTGGCCCAGAGATGCTCTGGCTTAGGTTTCCAGTCTCAGTTTTCCCCCAGTAACTGGATTAAAGGATGTCACTAGACAACAGGGTGATAGAGGAGAGTCCTGACTAGAAGACAAGAGCCTTCGGTCATATTTCTGGTTTTTTAACTATCAGCAGGTAAAACAACGTAGCTTCCTTATGTCTCATTATTTCCATCTTTAACAGGTTGCTCTACCAGAAGACAGGACTGCAGGCTTGGTATGGTACGGGGGAGGAAGAAACTCCTCTACCTTCTAGGTTTCTTCAGCTGGTCTAATAATCTAACAGACATGAGACAGATTAACAAAATGACCAAATTTAATTATGTAACACATATGAGAACCCCACATTCATGAGAGTCAGAAACCCCACATACAGGAGAGATTTAGAGACAGAAAGGGAAAATAAGGTATATGTGGCATTCACAGCTAAGAATGAGGTAAGGCAGGGGAAAGGTCATTTGTAGGGCAATAAGAAGAGTGGATGTTCAGTAATTAAAAGTTTGCCCTGACCTAGAGAGAGGTCATAAAAATTTATTTCCAATAACTCTTATTATGGGCAAAGCCCCTAATTTAAATTCTTTAAGGGAGAGGTAAAAGTTTCTCATGAGCCTACAGGATCTCAATTGCTTTCAGCTCAAAACAATTCACATGCCAAAGTGGCACATCTTGGGGAGGCTTGTTCTGAACCCCTTCAGTAGTAAGGTAAGAGATATAGAAATCGTATCGTTCCCTATCTCCATGAAGAATGGGCAACGCTAAAAGATGGGAAACCTTCTGCATCAGGTTCATCTATGAGTTTATAAGAAAATAGTACCTGATACTATTTAATGAACTTTGATTATATTATTTATATATAATATAAAATACATATTTGCTTATGTATTACTTATAGAAAATATATACATATGTAATCAAATGTTTTAACACCATTTTAATGTTTTTTATTGACGTCCTAATACGCCACACAAAAGTGTACAGCTCGGATGTGGCAACTGAACACACCTGTGTATTTAGCAACAAGATTAAGAACAGAACCGGACCAGCCCCCAAGACAATCTCTCATGCTCCCTTCCCAGTAACTATGCTTCCCTCAGGGTAACCACTGCCCTTACTTCTAACAGCACAGATTAGTTTTACCTGGTTTTGAACTTTATATAAATGGACAGTTTTGTGAGATTTATCTGTATTATTATGCGTAATTGTAGATAGTTCATTCTCATGGCTGCCTAATGTACCGTTGTGTGACTCTAACACAATTTATCCTTTCTACGGTTGATGGATATATTGGGTAGTTTCCAGTTTTTTGGCTACTACAAATAGTGCTAGTAATTCTGAGAACAAGTATTCTGGTGAATATTTGTACACATTTCTGTGGAATTCCCATGGAATTGCAGTAATAGTGTATGAATAGGCTAAGCTTTAGTAGATACTGCATTTTCCAAAGTGATTTGTACCAATATACACTTGCTGCAGCAATATGTGAGAGGTTTAATATTTCAATAAGCATGTACAATGATGTCACATTATTTTAGCTATGTTCTTTATTCATATTTTCATAAATTTACAGTTGTCTGTCATTTAAAATACATTTGTACAGAGGCAATGTGATAATGTGGGATGGGGCACTGTGGCATGGCAAGTACAGGGGGAAGAGAACTTAAATACACAGGCCAAGCAGCTGAGTGGGGACAGTGCCTGCTGCCCTGGATAAACAGATGTTACTCAGAAGTAGCTGCCACTTGAAAATAGAGGCTCAAAGTGAGCAGACTTTTTGACATTTTGGTGAGAAGCCAGAAATCTGGATTTTAAAAACTAGCAATTCATATTTGTGGAAAGCATTATGCTGGCCAAACAAAACTTTATCAGTGGGTCAGATGCCCAGCCCTCATTTTCCACCTCTCGACTAGCCCTTAGGACCTGGCTCTCGGGGTCGGGGTAGGAGGTGACCTGTAGTAAGTCACCTCATTTGTTAGAACTTCCCTCTCTGGTCACAAGGGTAAAATAAAAGCCTATTCTTTTGTATAGTGCTGGTCAAATGAGATAATTCAGGAGTATGGGAGTAGTCGAACACTACATAAAGTCAAGTGCTTTCTCCTTACTACGTCTTCCGTTGTGGTGCACTCACTCAACTTCAAGTATTTGAGGAATTTTGATTTCCACCAGGCAGTTTAAGACTGGAGATTCTTATGCATACAAATTTTTAAGAAGTGTTTAGGCTGCCGGAAATGCAAAGGGTTCAGAGGAAATGGCCTATTAGGGTATTAGGGTCTTGCTAATCAGGAAAGTCCAGGACTTCAAATGTATCTAGAAATACCACGAAAAGTCACCAAAGGAGCCAGAATGGTTAGGCGACGGAAGGCTCGTAGGATCCTCGAGTAATTAAATTGCAGAGCAGAACTTAGACGCATCAGCATCCCGGTTACACCTGACCAAGGCCTTTTGCCCGTGCGCACAGAGACCCACCCAGGATACCCAGGTAAGGGCGTGTCCTCACGATGCCGTTAGTCGCCTGCTCCAAGTGAGGCCCTGCAGGCGGGGCACTCCAGTCCCGGGAATCAAACTGGGGGAATGAATTGTCCCAGAGAAGTCTGCGTCCACTCCGGCTCCAGACTCCATGCGGGTGGGTCTTACACGCGCCGCGCCTCCGCTGCGTCCGGGACCGCCCGGGAGCGCGCGCAGCCCCGACCGAGGAAAGTTGGAGGCTCTCGCCGCCGCCCGCGCGTCCCGGGACGCCCCCTCCCA